TTTGGAAACACGGAAATCTTTCGCGGAGCCGTAACGGTGAAGACAGGGCTGGCTTCACCCCAAATATTGGCAGCAAGCGTCTCGCAGGCTGGGCACTTTTTGGGGATGGGCACGCGTCAGACAGAGGCATCATCGAATTTCTCTGCATCTCCTGCCATCGATGGCGAGAGCCGGAAAGGGTCTTTCTGGCAAACCCACTCGTGTTCACCGTCGCATATATCGACCTCCAACGCTTTGTCTTTCAGCGTCCCGCACCCCTTAGCCGTCCACTGCAGGGTGCCAAACCTGCAGAACAAAAAATTTTACCGCCTGAGAGGAGCGAACTCCATCGAATTTCTCTGCATCTCCTGCCATCGATGGCGAGAGCCGGAAAGGGTCTTTCTGGCAAACCCACTCGTGTTCACCGTCGCATATATCGACCTCCAACGCTTTGTCTTTCAGCGTCCCGCACCCCTTAGCCGTCCACTGCAGGGTGCCAAACCTGCAGAACAAAAAATTTTACCGCCTGAGAGGAGCGAACTCCGCACTCGCCCAGGCGTGCGGAAGAGGGGAGGTGGCGGGGAGGGGGTTCCTTCTGCCCTTTTTCTGCATCATCTCATCGTGCCACAACCGATTTCTGGCGGGTGGGTTGCCCAGACTTGAGTGCAGCTTGCCGTGCTTGCAATAAGATCTGCAAGGAACACGCACGGGCCATTAAAAGCCACGTCGGTTGCGTAAAAAAATGGGTTACGGTGCTCCTTAAACCCAACTCTCGGCCTGCAAAGCTTTGGGCAGGGGGAATAAGAGACGATTGCGTAGACGGCAAAATCTCGGAGGGATGGGTTGGGGCACGTACCGGGTCTGAAATGGAGCAAAACCGCTTTTTTTATGTAAGATTGCAGATGCACTCACACTGTGGTGTTGAAGGGTGTGCGGTCCACCCATCTCCAACCCTCACGGGATGACATTAATCCGACCCACACCGGCTGCGTGTCTCTGCCTGTAATGTTCTTGAGGTAATCCTGGGAAACGGAGGGGACCGGTTGCTTCCAAAAGCTCTCCGTGGAGAGTTTTCGTGGGGTGCGAAGCGGCAGAGTAAATCTGACTCGTTTCATCCATCCCCGAATAGATCGGACACGAATGCGTCCCCCCCCGTGCGCTGAACGCCGCCACGCGTGGTCTCTAAAGGCAGCTCTGGGGTGAAACCACTTTAATTCGGAGCCCGAGACACTGACGTCGCCATCTGAGCTCTGCAGCCCTCCTCTTCCTCCCATGTAGGGGGACACCGAGGGGCTTTCGGTGACAATTCAGCCCCTTTTTCATCCCGATCGCTTCTTGGGAGACATCGGAGCAGGGGATCGGTGGGAGCCACCGTGGCAGCCCCAAGCCCTCCCGCTGCCAGGCACTTTTTGCTCCCCTGCCCACCGAAATAAAAAGGACTTTCAGGTCCTTTTCAAGCCTTCTCCTCCGTATTTACCATTTCTTTGCTGTCCCGGAGCACTACCAGCTGAGCCTTCTGATTTTCGCAGCCTGTCTTGCTTTGATTCCAGCTTCCCTTTTCCTTGGAAAGCCAGTAGCATCTTTCCCCGTGGAGCTGCCAGTCCTGGGGGCACAGCTTGCAGCCAGCAAAGGCTGAAGAGGAGAAAGAGCCGTGAGACACCCCAAGGGGTGGTCAACGTCTTCCCCAACCACCAGCGGAAAGGCACCGAGGACTTCCTCATCCCACACCCCAGCTCTTTCCCCATCCTCGAGTTGTTTGTTTTTTTTTTTCACGTCGTTGTGGTTTTTTTTTCTGCTCAGCCACCAGACAGGAGGACTGCGGTGGGGTGACCGCTAATGGCCGGTTGGGGTGGAGGAAGGGCGAGGAACCTCCTCTGCCTAGAATTGACCCCTCCACGGAAGAGGGGTCAGCACAAACTGCATGCAAAAAAAAAAAATTCTTCCTTGCGACGCTCCTCTTGGCCAAATAACCCTCGGTGGCCTCGCATCCCCAGGAGCATCCTTGCGATGGGGTGGGAGGGAAGCCCCGGCAAAGGTCCCACCTGAGCAGCTCCCAGCAGAACCAGGTTGGGAAGGGGGTTACCTCCGGGGCTGTCCTGCCCGGGCTCACAGAAATACTGCATCAGGGATGAAATCAGGCATCGCTCGGTGTGGTTCCTTCCCCAGATCTCACTGCCTTGCTGGGGAGCGCTTGTCCTCAGTGGCTGCAGGGAGCCCTGAAAAACTTGGGAGGAGTGAGGCGGGGTGAGAGGCCGCGGCCGTTTGGGGGGATAAATCCCACAAAAACCAGGTAGGGCTGGCTTTGATTTTGTGCAGCCTTCCTCTTGCCCCTCCACAGTCGCACCCGATTAATTAAGCCAGCCTGCAAAAACATGGCTTGTATCCCGCACCCTTGTTTAAAAGCTAGTTTAAAAGCTAGTTTAAACCCTAGTTTAAAAGCTAAAAGCTAGAGAGTCCGGGTTTCTTTTTACTCTTGGTGGGTGATGCGTCTCATCGCGTCTCCATGGGAGCAACCTTCGAATCGTTGAGGTTGGCAAAGACCTTGAAGATCACCCAGCCCAACCATTAACCCAACACTACCCAGTCCACCGCTAAACCCATTAAGAGGAGAGGGATAATTTCTTGTGTCCTGGCTTGGTGGCTGGATTATTTTTTAACGAAAGGAAAAACCAGGAATCAGGAAGGTTGGAAAGGAGCTCTAAGGTCATCAGCCCAACCATCAACCCAACACCACCGTGCCCGCTAAACCATGTCCCAAAGGCTGAAATGCTGAAATAACCCCCCTTTCCCCCTCCAAGCCCGCTCGTTGGGTTTTGAGCCGTAGGTTAAGAGCTGGTTACTCACCCTGCACGCTCAGCACCACCACCAGCACCAAGAGGATGAGGTGCCCCAGCCCGCTGACTTTGAGGAGGACCCCATGCCACTGCGGACACAAGGCAGGAGCTGAAAGAGGCCACATTTGCTTAAAAAAAATGGCGCATTTTCAGATGAAAAAGCTGGGGTTTTTAAAGGGGGGGGGGGAAAAAAAAACCCCAAAACCAAAAACCCTTTGTCAAGCCAGCGAGTTTGAGAAGTTTACAGCCGCTTGGCTTCCTCCAAAAAATAAATCACCCCCGGTGAGGTTTAGAGGTTGAATGCAGAGATCATCACCTAAGGGTGGTTTTTCGGGCGGTGGAGGGGCTGCAGGTAGCCTCAAGAGCAGCCTCGGGCACCCAGCGATGGAGCTTAGCAGACCCAAAACCTTCCGAACTCGGCTTAATTTAGAGGAGGCAAAAGGAAGTGCCGGGCGTCGGTGGGACGTGGGTCTCTCCGGAGCTCATCCCCACCCGGATCCCAGAGGATCAGCAGCTTTGCTTCCCCGTGGGGCGCGTTGGCTCACGGCGGGCTCCTTGGAACCCCGTTTTTGCCACCAAGTGAAGGGGCTCGGGGGCAAAACTCTTCAAGCACCAGACGTTCGCTGGCTTTCCTCTCCCCCATCGCTTCCTCGCTTTCCCCGCGCTCTCTGTGCAAGCCAGGAGGACGCTTGGAGGACATGTAGCCCATCCAACGTTCTCCGCGTGTCTTGGAAACCTCAACAAGGGGATGGAGAAGCAAGCAAAGCCAAAAGTCTTCCCAAAAGCAAGCAAAGCTTGGAATAAGTGGGGTTTTTTTTCCCCCACAAAATAGCACTTACCGTGATGCTGCTTGGCAGGAGAAGAGCCATCCCCAGGATGCCTTAAATCAGCGTAAATTATTTCCCCAGCC